TCTAACATCTAATTAGCCGCTACCAGTTTCATAATTGGACCATACGTTAGTCCTTTGTCGTGGTACAGTATGACAATAGCACCATTATCGGTAGCTGAACTGGTTAACGAAGAAACAAACTGATTAAATGGCCACTATAGTACTGATCTTTAATGATTCTGTTTCACTGTAACCTCTCCATTGTCCCCTTCTGAATATAGGTCTTCTTGATATTACGCTATGAAATATACCTATGACAGAGGTACCCAAGCAATCGACTTTTGTACAAAGTCTCCCTCTGGTAAGGTCTGGTCTGGTCTGGTCCCTCTTTCCACGCGGATGTCGTAACAGGCAACTAAGGAAGGGCGAGGGATGTACAGCAGCGTACCTCCTAAAACATCTGTAAAACCTAACTACGGTTGCCATTCTTCCTGCTAAGTGTGGCAACTACTGACAAAACCCCCCTAGGAGTAGCTTATGCTCAACAGTGGACAGTTAAAAGCTGATATATGATGGCGATGACCTGACTTCACCCTTATCTATCATCAATCATTGATTGATGCTATAAGTTGACTTATACCATAGTGCAGGGTAAATTTTGTATTTTCGTTTTTTGACCGTCGTCGTCTTGCAGCAGTATTTCCGAACCGATACGACAACATAACCTTCAAGAAAAAAAACATATTCCTTTTTAAAATGGCGGCAGCACACCGGCAATGCCGTAGGTGTTGTGGGTGACCATGGGCGGCGGTAGTCACTTACCATCAGGTGAGCCGCATGCTCGTTTGCCCCCTGTGAATAAAAAAAAATTAATTAAAACTAAACTACATAGCTACTAGATTTCTAAACTATTATATTTGTATATATGTAAAAAAATCTACCTTAATTCCATTCATATTTTACAAATATTTCACTGCTATTAATATTTCATCTGTTCACAGATTCATCGGCATTGGCCCATATCAGAAAATCTAAAGGACCGTTCCCACAGCACTGACCGAATCGGCGACGTATCGAGCCCCGCGACAGGCGCACGTGAGCTGATTTATGCGTGGACGGACGACACGCCGGCACACGGCGATAAATATAATTGTGCCGCTTGTGCCGCTCTGAGGCTCTGACCCACCCAGGCGGTGCGCAATTGTGTTAGGGTCTTTACATGTTGATAACAACGATGCCAGATTTTTCTTTTTTTATTTAGGGTAAACACTTTTCTGTTCGTAAAATTGTAGGGAAGTGCAATTCTTTTGGATTTTTTTGCGGAAAAGCGAAATGTGCTTGTAGAAATTTTGGTAATTTTCTTTTAGAAATTTTCGATAATGGTTTTTTTTTAATGGATGAAAATGGAATTGTAACCCCCCGCCTGCGCTATCGGCATACGCTGTCGGGGTACCAGTAACGGATGATAGATGAATATGAAGCAAGTCAATTGGCCCATCGTGATGAATTCATCAAAAATTAATCACGATGGTTTCTAGGAGGAACCGCGTGGAGGTCCACCTGTTAGGGGGTATTGCTAGTAATAGGTCTGTTGGATCCCATTACTAAGAATCACTATCCCCCCTGGATAATGGGTTTAGTACTTGTAAAGTTTATAGAGGTTATACCTCTAGAAGATAAAAAGAGGGGCGAAATAGAAACAGAAGAAATGACCCTTTTTCATCATTCACTTTTTTGCAGATGGAATAACGCAGTGAAGAAGGATGCAAAACGATACAAGTTGTGTTTTGATAAAAGTCTTAGAAACCGTATTAATTTGGAGAAAAAATATTTAACGTTTAGGCAAAATTCAAAATTGACACCTGGCAACCCTGGTTGATAATTTCATATGTTGACATTGTGAGTGTGTTTTGTTTGATTTGTCACTAAGTGACGCTTGTGGACTTAGGTGCTTAGAGTTACTGTTATTGTGTATTTGCATTAATAAATTGTTTATACACTTAATTTGAGTAGTTATTTATGTATTTAATTTGATTACTTAAATTTAATTTTAGCTGAAATTAAATTCAGTTGAAAGTTGACTTCAAGCAGATTTTTCCTTTAAAGATTTCTTTTTTTTTATTTTTAATTCTAAGCGTCCTTACGCTTAGAATTAAACATTTAAAATCTTACTGGGTACAGAAGAATAACACCTGAGTCAGGAATAGCAACGCATGGGGGGGTATCATGGGCGAAACAGTACACTCTGTTATGTCTATGGCACTGCTCATGTTTATAGGCGACAGTTACCACTTTCCATCAGGTGGGCCGTCAGCTTGTTTGCCATTCTAAGTTGTATATAAAAAAAATGGAACACCCTTTCTGCTTCTGTGTTACCGAAGAAATACCATCAGGAACTCTTCAAGTCGGTGATAAATAAGTTACTTCTAAAAAAGCGGCTTGGCTGTGTGGTCCCGGCATAGAATAAGTCACCATTCATTTGTCAGTGGGTATCATAAGTGGCGACTAATTGAGCGCGAGGGATGGACAACAGCGTCCCTTTTAAAACATCTTTAAAGCCTAACTGCGGTTGCTAATCCACCTGCCAAGCATGGCAACTACTGGCAAACCCCCAAGGGGAATTGTTTAACAGTAGACAGTTTTTTTTTATGCGTGAAAATGGCATGGTTACCTCGCCTGCGCTATCGGTATACACTAGCGGGGTACCAGTAAGCGATGATAGGTGAGGATGAAAAGGCAGGTCAGTTAGCCCACTGTGACGAATTCAATGATTAATTGGTTCCAGAGGTAACCGCGTGGAGGTCGACCTGACCTATCAGGTATATTGATAACAATGGTGACTAAACTCCCCATTACTAACAATTCTTTTCCCCCAGCAGTAGACAGTTAAGGGCTGGTATGATGATGATGCTGATGAGTAAGCGCGCTTCATCCTAGATATTATCATCGCCTTCAATAAAGTGAGGTAAGATGCTTGATCTTAAAAGCAAATCAATTTTATAATAAAAAAAGATATCACAAAATTCTATTAATGATTTTTTTTTTTTTATGCAACTTAGAATGACAAACAAGCTGACGGCCCACCTGATGGAAAGTGGTAACCGTCGCCTATAGACATAGCAGACTATACTGTTTCACCCATGATGCCCCCCATGCGTTGCCATTCCTGAGGACTCAGGTGTTATTCCTCTGTACCCAGTAAATTCACGCCATATCCCACCCTTCAAACCGAAACACAGTCATGCAAACACAACTGCTTCACGGTTGAAACACGAATGGGACAGAGGTACCCAAGCAATCGACTTTTGTACAAGAACATTTTGTACAAGAAGATTATCCAAGAACATTTTGATTATACCTTTAAATAAAATAAAAATGGCGTTTATTATACTATATTGCGCAACCCTAACACAAACTCGGTACAAAGTCACAGTTGTACATAGGAATGGTTCAGGAAGACGCTAAGCATCAACCGTGAGTCTTATGAGTGTATTCTGTGAAATATCACGAACCAGAATAACCGAATATCGTTCTTAAAATAATAGCATTATGCACCAAAATAGCCTAAAGAGCTGATACGAAATATTCCTTCGACAACATTGTAACTTATATTTTACTGTCGGATATTACGTTTCGAAAAGATTTTGACTATTCCTTAACAGTATTTTAAAGTGGTTTCGAAAATTATCGATTTGTATTGAGCCAATTGCAATATTAAGCGAAATAAAAAAAAATTATGTAACTTTGATGGCAAATAAGTTGACGGCCCATTATGACATGAACAGTATCATGAACATAACAAAGTATACTGTGTCGCCCATGATGCCTTCCAGGTATACTTACCATCATATAAATATGCATTAGATTAAATCCTTTTTTATATATGTCATTTATGATTATAATTCACTCCACATATCATACTATAAAATTGTAATATTCATACACATGAAAACAATGGGGGGAGGGGCGGATTGTTAGTAATGCGGATTACCAGCCCCATTGCTGGCAATATACCCCGTCAGGTCGACCTCCACGTGGCCCCCCCCTGGAAACCATCGTGCTGAATTTCAGTTGTATTCATCATGATGAGTTAATTGACCTGCTTTTTCATTTTCACTTATCATCCCTCACAGGTGTCCTGCCGGTGTATACCGATAGTGCAGGCGGGTTATCTTTCCATAATCATCCGTTAAAAAAAATCTACACATAAAAACAGTATATCTAGAGTCCAAATTAAATAAATAAACTAAAAATTCACCATTACATTTGATATTTCAATAGCAAAGTTTAATTGGCTTTTAATATTTAGGAAAACGATACTATACTACTTTAATGCAATATGCCGGGTGGGGGGGGGGGATTGTTAGTAACGAGGACTATCAGTCCCATTGCTAGCAATATACACTATCAGGTCGACCTCCACATGGTCCCTGGAAACTATCGTGCTGAATCCCAAGTGTTTTCATCACGATAGGCTAACTGAGCTGCCCTTTTATCCTCACTTATCACCCCTCACTGGTGCCCCGCAAGCGTATACCGTTAGCGCAGGCGAGATTGCCATTTCATTACCATCCATTGAAAACAAATGCTCGGTAAAATAGGTATATGCCCCACATTTTACCGAGTCATTATTTTGGGCCACTAAAAAGCTTCATCCCTTTTATTTATTCATTAATATTTTAAAGGGAAATTCCTTTTAGTAAAAACATAGACATTTGAAGCCTATTATCAAGGCTCGAATCTGTAACCGTTTCACAATTTGAATATGATTCGCTTTTATTGTATTACCATTATTATATAAATCTTAATAATAATCGAGGGATGGGCAACAGCGTCTCTCTTAAAATATCACCAAAAACCTAACTGTAGATTCTAATCCGCCTGACAAGCATGGCCACTACTGGCATAACCTCCCTTTTGAGGAAGACCTGTTCAACATTGGACAATCATCAGCTAATATAAATATAGACGATGATGGTATTACCATATCTAAATTATCATTATCGCTTCCACTTTCATTGATTAGTCTTATCACAAACTTTTTAATGACTCTAATCGATAGATATAAATTATTATCAATCTCAAAAGTAGCACATTTAAACGAGCGTCGTAAAGCTATTATAATGAATTTTAATTTATATTTTATATTTCTAGTAAATTTAACTTTAGTAGTAGGAGTTAAAAGGAGTTATGAAGGATATAAAGTGTATAAAACAGTTCCTAAAACACAACAGCAGTTAGATGATTTAGTTCTTCTCCGGGAAAATGGTATTGCAGAGTTTTGGGATGATAATATTGTTATAAATCAAGATTCTAGGATAACAGTGTCATCAGAGAAGGAATCCGAGTTTTTGGAACGTTTGAACAAGTCTGAACTCAATGTTGAACTGCTTATAGATGACTTACAAAGGTAAGTTTTTAAAATATTATTAAAATTTGAAATTTAGTCAATTGTATTAAAGTGTCTTTTCGTATACTCCTATTAAAAGAAAAATTTATATGAAAGTGGCTACTTAAAAGTTTGTCTTTTCAATTCTAGCTCCAAGTACAGCTGAGCTATACCTGGAGCTAGAATTGAAAAGACAGTTTCTAGCTCAAAGTACTATATTAATAGGTACAATATAATCATATCTATGGTAGTGTAGTCCCAGCAAAGAATGGGCCTCCACTTTTTTTCCCGTGCGTGCCGTCAGAGGCAACTAAGGGAACTTAATGTTCGAGGGATGGACAGCAGCGTCCGTCTTTAAAGATCACGAAAGCCTGACTGCGGTTTTCAATCCGCCTGCTAAGCGTGGCAACAACATGGTTCTCAAACTAAGAACTGTGTTATGAGAAACCAGGAAACAAACCATTTCACATTTGTAACTAGACGATGTCTGTAAATAGGACTTATTTAAGAAAAAATGATGTGAGGGGTTTAAATAGGTGCAATAGAAGTCAAAACAATATTTTTAGAAATTTTGCCTGTTCGTCTGTTGTATTTTTGTTACGGGATTACGCAGAAACTTGGATTCACAAAATTCGATGCAATTTACACAGTTCATCATCATCTTCCTACCCTTATCCCAATCATTTGGGGTCGGCGTAATATGATTTTGTCCATATTACAAAAAGACTTGGTTTTTAGTTTTACAACCGGCCACCTGCCTTACGTCAACCCTCTTTGTACTCTTGAAAAACTAATTTAAAAACGAATGTATGTTTTATTCTGATATAACATCAAAAAGTGCTATATTTCATTAGTTTTCCTATTTCTGAAATTACGTAGTAGGAAGCAGAAAGCAAGTTTGTAATATTAGTAATGATTGTCCATTCCTTGCACGGTACAATGGACCTTATTTATTTGCAACCAAGAGCTAATATTATCTAAAAACTACAAAAGTATAGTTAGGTAAATAATATTTTTCAGAGTTATTAATGAACAGTTGAATTCTACAAGAAGGAGTGTGGATTCCTCAGCATTCCTTTCTCTTGATTGGGATAACTACCATTCTCTAGAAGAGATTTACTCATGGCTTGATGAATTGGCTGCAACCTATCCTGATATAGTAAAAGTTGTCGTAATGGGACGGTCTGTTGAGAATAGAGAAATTAAAGGCATAATAATAGATTATAAAAAGACTACATATCCTCCCCGAGGTATGTTAGAAGGTACATGCCATGCCAGGGAATGGATATCAGCAGCAACCGTGACCTGGATTATTAAGGAGTTCTTGACAAGTACAGATCCTGAAGTCAGATTTCTGGCGGAGAACTTTGAATGGCACATATTCCCTGTTGTTAATCCGGATGGCTATTCTTATTCATTCACTGATGTAAGTGAAACAAGTATATTTCGTTAAAAAAATAAAATAAATACCATCTTCAATCATGGATAAACCAGTTAATTTTTTTCGACTATTCAATTGAATTGAAAGAACCTCTTTCTTTTATTTTAAAGTCGGTTGTTTAATAAAATACAAGTTTTAACGTTACTATTATATATTATATTTACTGTCATCATATAACTCTAATTATCATTTTTTTTTATCTAAAAAGATATGTTTTCAGATTGGTTCTATAGATATTTTATCAAAATCGGTTTAGTAGTTTAGTTTTAAAATTGAAATAATTGTTTTATTAATTATTATTATTTTCAGAATAGGATGTGGAGAAAGAATCGTAGTACGGCCAACTTCACTTCGTGTTCAACAGGTGACGACAACAGCAATGGTGTCGATCTCAACAGAAACTTTGACTTCGTTTGGATGTGTAAGTTCTTTGTTATGGACTTCTTTAAAGTATACTTATTTTTATACCTCTAAGGTGGCAAATAAGCATACAACTCGTCCGACAGTAAACGATTACAGATGCCTATGGACGCCTGCAACACTAGGGGTAACACGTGCAATGCGCCGACTCTTGCTTACTGATACTTTTAAATATATTCGTAGACTCTGTACTAAGGTTTCTTCAGGGTCAGTAATGTGATATAGCACGCACGTGATATAGCTGATGTTGCAATCGTCTATAGGGAACAGTGATCATTGACCATCAGTCTGTATGCTTGTTTACCAACTTTATGGTATAAAAAATATAATATTATCCAGAACGTTTTTTTTTCAAAGGAACACTAATTATTGTATTTTTTGCCGTTCTTTGTATTTAATTATATTAGCGTCAATTCCTTTACGCACTTTACAAGAATACTGAAAAGTTCCTTGTCGGGCGCCAATGAAGTCCGAGCTTGTAAAGGAGACGAGTAAGAACTCGTCTCCTTTACACTTTTGGCATGCTTAGATGGTCTCAAACCGATCTCGAAACCCTAGATTAGAGAGTCTGCACAACTATGATCCTCCATAGAATGTATTACCTGAAATCGTCAATCACCATGCTGTATATAACACGAAGGGCTTGTTAATCATTAAGACCATGCACAACCGCGAAATTAACAGCCTCAGGACATATTGTCTGGAGAAAAGAGACGAAGATATGCATAGAGAGGTCATAGAATGTGACAAACTGACTGGCTACTGTTCGGTGATCTCTTCAGAGAAACCGAGGATTTTGTCTCTGCAATACAGAATCAGATGATTAAGACGAACAATTACCGAAAGCACATTCTGAAGAATGGCATTGAGGACATCTGTCAGGCATGTCGCCATCCCAGAGAGTCACTCAAATAGGTACTTTCGGGTTGTTTAGCTCTTGCCAACACTGATTAATTGCACAGATACAACCTGGTAGTCAAAATTCTCCACCAAGTGTTAGCTTTGAAATACGGCGCCGCGAATGAGAGAATGTCGTACTATAAGTACGAGCTCCAGCTGGTACTCGAAAGCGACAGTGTCAGGCTCTACTGGGACCAATCCATCATTACGGACAGGATAGTTCTTGATGTCGTGATAATGGATCGGGCACTCTCGAGGGTGTTTTTAATGGATGTCGCCATACTGCATGACGAGAACCTTGTGAAAGCTGAAATTGAGAAAACGAGAAAATATCTCGATTTAGCTAACGAGGCACCGAAATATGGAGGGTGGCGTCCACTAAAATCATTCCATTCTTTCTGTCGGTGACGACAAAAAGTCGGCCTTATTCCAACTAGGCTGGAACAACATCTCAGACGGCGAGGCGGCTCTCTCCTGGGAAAGATGCAGAAAGCCCATCGTAATTTTTTCGTAATTTTATAGAAAGCAGGCTCTAAGAGCACCTCTTAGAGCCTGCCCACATTGTACGCCAGTTTCTCTCCCTGGAGTCCCGAACCCCGACCGAATATCCTTCTGCCGGGGGTTAGTTTTCATATCTCCCCTCTTAAGGAGAAGAGATGTCAATTTCTGTAAAAATTTAAAAAATAATAATTAATATTAATAGTCTCCCAACGCACCGTATCGAGCCAGCGTACCCAAGTAAATACTCTAGTTTTTCTTTAAGTAGAAAGCATTGTCTCTTCGGATCGCTAAACTTAGTTTCTGCATCGTTTATTTTTTCAGCCACTGGAGCATCAAACGATCCCTGCTCTAACACCTTCGCTGGTCCGCAACCTTTCTCCGAACCGGAATCTCAAGCCATTGCACAATACGTCTCACATCTACAGAAGGACAGACATAATCTTATTTATTACATTGCTTTCCACTCGTACAGCCAACTTGTTGTGGTTCCGTACAGTCATGTTAGTGGTCCTGGTGTCTTGACAGCAAGTAATTATGGAGATATGGTGAGTTTTGTATCTAAACATATATTATGCCTTCCCCTTCCTTTCCTGTGGGTATCATAAGACGCGATTAGTAGAATTTAAGGACATAAAGTTGGGCAGTAGCGTCCTTCTTAAAATATTACCAAAACTTAACTACGTATGCCGACACATCCTCAGAGGAGCGTGGCACCTACTGGCAAAATTCTCCTTTTAGGGGAGGCCTATGTTCAGCAGTAGAAAGTAAAAGTCTGATGATATCTTGAAGTGTAAGGGAGAAAATGTAAGAAATCGCTTACATTGTCGCACTCGAGTCTCCGCTATGCACTAAGCACTTCACTTGCATGATCTTGTTTAGTAGGATATGACAGTGAAATTATTACGAGTGGATAATATACAGCAATAATTATATATTATAGTTCTCCTCCAAAAGATTACAATAGTAAACTTATTATAAATATAAACAATGACAAGAAATAATCACAATGAGAAAACAATGGGCGACGTTATCGCTAAAAGCGATCTCTTCTAGGCAACCATTGGACGTAATTATAAAAGGAGTAATTATAAACAGTTTGATCGGAGGCACAATGAAATTCTATTATTTCTTAATATAGAGATATGATACATGTAATAATGTTAAATATATATTCCTACTCATTATATACACTTATTTACTATTATATATATATATATACAAACATATTATATATTGTGCTAATTAAGGATATATGGGATATCAGTTATCAAGTATACAATATCAGAATGACAAACCCGATCAACATGAATATAGTTATTCGACCGATATAGGCATTATTGAAACGAGTGATGATTTTTCCACCACCAATTTTCAGTGGAGCTAATATACTCGTATAATAATAATAATAAATAATTTTTATTTCACTCTTTGTTACAATATAGTTTGAAGTCCCTAACTTCCGAGATAGGTATGAAAAAATCTGTGTTTCAGGAGTCAGTGCCCTCTTCCATATGTTGTTGTTTTACATTTTTAGTGAAACAATATGAAACAAAGAAGTAACAAATTAAAATATATAGATATTGTAACGGTACCGATATTACATATATCTAAAAATAACAGAGTACAAAGACATAAACCCTTTAATCCTCAAGAAAGAAACCGAATTAGAGTTACCATAATCTTGCGAGGATTACAGTTAGTATTGTACAATGAAACTGCAGTAATGCTACCAGAGGGAGACTTTGTACAAAAGTCGTTTGTTTAGGCACCTCTATCCCATTCGTGTTTCTGCCGTGAAGCAGTTGTATTTGCATGACTTTGTTTCGGTTTGAAGGGTGGAATAGGACAGTGAATTTACAGGGTACAAATGAATAACACATGAGTCCTTAGGAATGGCAACGCATGTCCAAAACAGTATACTCTGTTATGTCCGTGGTACAGAATATGTCTATAGGCGACGGTTACCACTTTCCATCAGGTGGGCCGTCAGCTTGTCATTCTAAGTTGCATAAATAAAAAAAAAAATGCTATGATCACCCTCATACCAGACTTTAATTGTCCACCGCTGAACATAAGCCTCCCCCTTGGTAGATTTAGCCAGTAGCTGCCACGTTTGACAGGCGAATTGGCAACCGCAGTTAGGTTTTAGAGATCTTTTAAGAGGGACGTTGCTGTACATCCCTAGCCCTCCTTTAGTCGCCTCTTATGACACTTACGGGTAAAGAAAAATGGCTTGTTTTATTTTGGGACAATTATTATAATTTTTTTTTATAACAATCACTTTTTACATTAAAGTTGTGCGATACATATATATGCTATTGTTATATATAATTTATATTTTTCTGTTTATTTTAGTATGAAATAGGAGTCAGGGGAGCTGATAAATTGAGAGAAAGATTCGGAACTAACTATAGAGTTGGTGTATCTGCGGATGTTATGTGTAAGTTACTATATTCTTATTAATATTTGATTTAAATTGATAGATAAACATTTAATTTGACCCATTTATGGCACATGTAAATTAACAAATGAGTTTATACAATCAAATTATTTACATTTTTTTTTAAATATAAAACAAGAAATGAAATACGAAAATATGTTTTCGCCACGTGTGTCGCAGTGACCCAAATAGGCTACAGCTCAGTGATAGTTTTGCTTAAAAGCAAAGTACTGATTTTCAGCTGTAGCCTGAAGTTAGGCTACACGAACGCGTACAACAAACCCAACCTGCGTAACCAATTTAATAGCTAAAGATAAATTTGTATTACATAGATACATACTTACATAAATGATGCATAAATATTTCATTGATTAATTAAACATATAATATAAATAATTCACCACAACAATTATTATGTTGAAAGCAGTCGCTATCAGGCTACAACCCAAGTTTTTGCTTATTTAATAAATGCTGTTTTAATTACTTTTTAATAAATTGCTTAATTTTATAGTCCGTGATGGCTGCCATTTCGTGACGGATTTCTTTTAATTGTACCAAGGAAGTCGGTTTGTTGGCATAAACTTTAGATTTGACGTAACCCCATAGGAAAAAGTCCATAGAGGTTAAATCGGGACTTCGTGGAGGCCAATTTATGTCACCTCTCCTGGATATCAATTTGCCAGGAAAAATTTCACGAACTCGTGGTAAAGACCTGTTGGACGTGTGTGAGTCCTGCCGGAACCATGTTCTCTGGTTATAACCAGGAAAGTTTTGCAGTTCAGGCACGAAGAAGTTGCCTAACATCTCCACATAACGGTCCGAGTTCACTGTAACTGTGTGTCCCCTTTCATCTTCAAAAAAGTAAGGGCCGATAATCCCTCGCGCCGACATTGCAGCCCATACGGTCACTTTAGGCGAATGTAGGGGTTTCTGATGTTTGTGTTTTGGATTAATTGCACTCAAGTATCGACAATTTTGTTTGTTTACTTGTCCATTGAGTTGGAAATTAGCTTCATGAATTACCGTTTTTGTAGAACTCGCGTACGCACACCGCGCGGTCCACTCCCGAGAAACGCTCCATAGCGACTAAATTCCGAGAAGCTAGGCTACCGAATGACATACCCCCCGCGCCCCTCAGAATAGTTGCGTTCACGCAATAACCAAAAAAAATGTCACCTTTCTTTTGAGACATTCTGTACATGCATACTAAAACTATACAAATAAAATATACTATATTATACACGAAATCGAGACTAATATAAAGTACTTAAGGCATTCACAAATAGAATAATAAGGAATATCAAACTTAACAGATAACGCTAACAATTTTACTTTTTAACCGACTTCAAAAAGAAGGAGGTTATTAATTAGGTTATTTTTTTATCTGTGTTACCTCATATCTCCGTCAGTTGTAAATTGATTTGGAAAATTCTTCTTTTACCTGAAAAATATACTTACATATTAGTCCCATGGAAATTTTATCAAAATCAGTTCAGTAATTTTGTTTTTAAATGAGTATGAATTTTACCAGAGAGAGGGAGACTTTGTACAAAAGTCGTTTGCTTGGGTACCTCTGTACCATTTGTGTTTCAACCGTAAAGAAGTTGTGTTTGCATGGCTGTGTTTCGGTTCGAAGGGTGAGATATGGCGTGAATTTACTGGGTACGGAGGAATAACACCTGAGTCCTCAGGAATGGCAACGCATGGGGGGTATCATGGGCGAAACAATATACTCTTATGTCCATGATACTGCTTATGTCTATAGGCGACGGTTACCACTTTCCATCAGGTGGGGCCATTAGCTAGTTTACCATTTTAAATTGTATAAAAAAAAAGAATATATATAACATGTTTTGTCACAGTTGAAGTTTGTTCCTTTTTTACACAATCTTTAATTATATTTGATGATATTATAGATGAAATGAGCGGAACAAGTTTTGATTGGGTGAAGCATGAAGCCGAAGTGCCTGTCACATACCTAATCGAAATGAGGGATATGGGTGTATACGGGTTTTTGCTGCCGGCTGATCAGATCATACCGAACAGCAGAGAAATTATGGAATTCATACTCGAAATGGATAGAGTGACTAGAAGAATGGAATATTACCATATACCCTTTTCGTCTGCTACTTATTTCGTATCTAATACAATTTTTATTACTGCCATAGTTTTATTTGTAATGATTGTTTAATATCACGTCTTTGATTAGTTATTGAATATAAAATTTTATTGTTAAAAATTTCGAAGGCACATATTATGTTATAATTTAAAAACTACCAATTTAACTTACGACTAATTAGCGAGCCCAGGCGCGCAGTCAGGCTTGCGCTGGCGTCACAGCCGCTCGTGATTAAGGATCTCGAATTGATCCCGAAACTAGTAGAGCTTTCTCGATCTAATTACACGTAAGTTAAACCGGTAATTATTACATTATAATATAAAATAATTTCATTTCTATCTATTTTATAAATACAACCATACAATGCATTTATATTTAAATAAATCTATGTGTTTAAATAGTATTCTTATTTTATTGAGCTACGGCTGTCTAAAACAGGAGTATCTCTTTTAAAATAGCTATTTACTAAGTTTATAAATTCAGAAATTAGACAAGATAGATAGATAGATCGATACTCTTTATTGTTTCCTCTAAAAGATTACAATAGTAAACTTATTATAAATATAAATAATTACAAGAAATAATCACAATGAGAAAACAATGGGCGACCTTATCGCTAAGAGCGATCTCTTCCAGGCAACCTTTGGATGGAGAGGAGTAATTATAAACAATGATGCAATATCTACCACAAATAGTCAAATAACTTCTTTTTATAATGGGAAATTTGTATAAGCCTTATTGCGGTTGCCAACTCGTCTGCCAAACGTGGCAGCTACTAGCAAAACTCCCTTTAAGGAGAAGGCTTATAGTCGGTAGTGGACAAGTAACGGCTAATATAATAATAGGTACGAGTAAGACATTCTTATTAGTAAGTGATATCAGAGACCTTTGTATAACGACAATCGAGGTTTCTTAGCCCTTCTAAAAGGGCTCGGGCAATGGGCCAGATTTGGTTGTGGCTGGTTCTCATTTCGTTGTGGAATTTATTGTTGAGGAGCTGAATTATTCCTGTTGTCGTCCTCCGTGGCGCAGCGGTCAACACGCCTGCCTGCGACGTGGAGGCCCCGGGTTCGATCCCCGGCCAGGTTATGATGGAAAACGATCTTTTCCTGATTGGCCTGGGTCTTGGATGTTTATCTATATATGTATCTATTATAAATATAGTACCGTTGAGTTAGTATCCCATAACACAAGTCTCGAACTTACTTTGGGGCTAGCTCAATCTGTGTGATTTGTCCGTATATATATATTTCTTATTTATTCCTCTTGGATGATGATGATGGATCTTGGATGATTTAAGAGGTTACTGAAGAAACAAAGTGTTATTATATCCCGGATACCTCATATAAAACGCCACGATATATACTTCCCACAACTACAGAAATAATTACCGACTGTACAGGTGTCAATATCTGTAAGGTGTTATGTTATGTAAGCTTGTTTAATTATGCTACTTGTTTTAGAGATTAAAATGAAATAGTAATTCTACCTATGCTATTGCTTTACAGAGTAACAGTGAAGGATTATCATCTTAATGATATTGATCCAGATAAAAATGAATCTAGGTCAATTACCCCATCGTGATGAATTCACCAATGGTAACCAAAAAAACCGCGAAACCAACCTTTCGTATTATATTGTTAGCAGTAGGTACATTAGATCCCATTACCAACAATCTTCAAAGTAATGAATGTAAGCTTAAGCCTGGATCACTAAATAGCAGGCAAAGGTTTCTTTTACCGAAAGATATGCGTACCCAGAATGACGTTAATGGAATGGCAAAATGATAACGTATTAAATTCAAATATTATAGGATAGAATTTTAATTTATGACCTTGCATAGATTATTTTTTTATGTACTTAAGAATATTTATCACAATAATATAGGATTATCGTTGAGTCCATATTCTTATCACGACACACACACCAAAGTATGTGAAGATAATTATGTCTAATCGATAATTATAATTTTCAACACTTAACTGTAATTTATTGTTGATCCAACACGTTGCTAAAGACATGGATATTAAAATATTAGTAATATTTGTTGGAATATTTTGTAGTACAAATGCAGCGAAATCTTACGAACACTTCAAAGTGTACAATGTGGTTCCAAAAACAGACGTCCAAGTGCAATACCTTACTGATTTGAGAAAAGAAAACTATGATTTTTGGACAGATATAATTGAAATTGATAGTAATGTAAGAATTATGGTATCACCAGAGCAAGCCGATGAACTGGTGCAGTATAGTAAAAGTGTAGGAATGGATATTCAGTTAAGCATACACAATGTACAAGAGTAAGTTTTTATTTTAATTCTTCTAATTATGCTAGTCGTTTAAACATTGGATATATATACCTATATTCTTTAGTAAATATATTTGTATTGTAGCAAAACTGTTCAAAAGAATATTTATTTACAAGGTAACTTTGTAAAAGGCTATGTTTGAATTTGTGCTGTTTATTTTTTGGTTAAAGGGAGAAAATTACAGGGTAGGGATAACATGTATAGCATCGTAGATGATAGGAATGGCATCATAATAGGCATCTTCTTGGATTCTGTAATGTTCATAGTATGATTTACTTCTGTAGTTCAAAAGAAAGATTGGTAAAATAGAGAAAGAAAGAGAAATTGAGAAAAATAGCAACTAATTGGGTATCTTTCGTCCTCTTTTTACTAATTATATTTACATAAGAAGAAAGGAGGCAACCATATGATTTATAGTTTTTATTTTATCATTCCTTCTATGTAATTTCTTATTCTTAGATCAAAATTTGTATGTTTTTCATTTGAAAATTGATATAAATGAACAAAATATTTATGCTTACAGATTAATTGATGCTCAAATGAAGCCCGCAATAGGTACGAGATCAACTTCTCTAGGGTCTCTTTCCTGGGATGAATATTATACACTAGAAGAAATTTATAAATGGCTTGATGAACTGGAAGAATTATATCCTAATATAGTTAGAACAGTAACTATCGGATCTACATATGAAGGACGGCAAATAAAAGGCATAGTCTTGGATTTGAAAGCCGGTGAAAGACCAGGTGGGCCATTAACAGGCGTGATAGAAGGTGGAATTCACGCCAGGGAATGGATATCTCCAGCTACTGTCACTTATATAATTAAAGAATTCTTAACAAGCGAGGAGCCTGCTATAAGAAACTTAGCTGAGACTTTTGTATGGCACATAATCCCAGTTACAAATCCTGATGGATATGATTACACGTTTACTGGGGTAAGTTGTAATTCTATAATTATTGTACTTACTACTTTAGATTGACTTTTAAAAAAGGATAAAGCAGGATTTAAAGGTGTAAGGTTATTTAATGGTAGACAGTGGTCTACCTTGTAAAAGGTCAGTCTTGAAGATAAATTGATTAATTTTAGCTTGCAACTTATGAAAAAGTGTTCTATTAATGTATGCCGTATTTTAAAAACGAGTGATTTAAGTTTCTACTTATAGAAATTTTATCTCTTATTAAATATTATACTTAATCCATAATTATTGTTATTATATTTCTTTTTTATTTCTTTGGAAGTATACTTATTATTATTGTAAGATCTCTTGAACTGAATATTTTCAACTGATTTCCAAAAGAAGGAAGTTCTTAATTCGGTTCTTAATTTTTTATGTTTGTTCCTCCTCACTTTTAAACTAATTTGGAAAAATTAATTTTCCGTCTGTAAGTATATACTTACAAATTGGAAATTTTAACAAAAATAGTTTAGTAGTATAGTTTTGAAATCAAAATAACTAGTTTTGCAACATTTGAAGTAGATTTTATTGTAGAACACAATCTTTTCCAATCTGACCTTAGTACGTAGAATATCAAAATTTATCAAATAGTTTCGCAACAGATAACTACGTAGTAATTATACTATTTGATAAGATATTCGAGAAGGATAAGCATACTGAAGTAGCAACAAATAAGGAAGAAAGGTTCTCGATTATGATTTGTAACTTAATCATTGGTAGTAGTATTGAAAAAAAATCTTAAATTATAATTTGCAAACTTAATATTAGCTGAATATGGAACTGTTTATGTATTCTATAAGAAATTTGTCATTACTTATTTAAAGCAAATAAAGTATTCTATTCTATTCTTGAGTGGCGACTTCTTATGGGCAAACGCAGTGTAGGACGACCCTCATTAGACGGAATGACGACCCTAACTGTATTATGTATTATGTAGGAAGGCAGTGGATGCAGGTGGTTCAGGACCCTTTCAGTCTTCTATGGGGTTTCCAGTAGTCTATGGAGGAGGCCCATGTTCAGCAGTGGACATTATCGATGGATATGATGATGATGACGACAATGATAATAAATGTACCTAAATCAATATTTTAGCTATGTCAATACACAAAATTTTGTCATAATTTTTTACCAGACCATTACATAAATGGATCGGTACTAGCCTTTAATATTTAAAATGTGAAAATAAGTTTTTACATTTGTTATCTCTAAACATTAACGGTTTAATCAATCGTTATGGAATTTGGTATGCAAGTATTGTATAATTTGGAGAAGGACTTTATCAACTATTTATTCAGGTCAATAAACAGAGATATATATTGGTAGATAGGTCTTTACTATTCCTTATTACACAATATGTTTTGTATACTTTTGGAAGGAATATTCCAGTCCTGCAGACGAAAGTGCGTTATTTTTTTTTTATACTACTTAGAATGGCAAACAAGTTGACGGCCCACCTGATGGAAAGTGGTAACCGTCACCTATAGACATGAGCAGTACCATGGACATAACAGAGTATACTGTTTCGCCCATGATACCACCCATGCGTTGCCATTCCTGAGGACTCAGGTGTTATTCCTCTGTATCCAGTAAATTCACGCCCTTCAAACCGAAACACAGTCATGCAAACACAACTGCTTCACGGTTGAAACACGAATGGGACAGAGGTACCCAAGCAATCGACTTTTGTACAAAGTCTCCCTCTGGTTAATAATGAATATATATAATGAATGATATTTAAATAATTAATCATGGTAATAAATTAATCTTTATTTAAAATTTAAAAAAGTAGTTATATTAAATATGAATCAGTAATGTATGTATTTAGTTTGTTTCATTTTATATTTTCAATATTTTTGTAATTCCAAAATTGTTTTAATTACTTTTACAATCAATAGAGTTTACTTTCATGTTATATCTATATTTTATGACGAAGGAAGCTGCAATTTCTTTTTTAAACCGACTTTAAAAAAACGGAGTTCCGCATTTTAGTTGTGTTTGTTACTTCATAACTTTCGTCACTCGTTGTACAATGCTCATCATTTTTATATTTGTTTAGAATCGAATGTGGAGGAAAAACCGGAATCCAGATAACTATGTACCTTGCACGGGTAATAGTGATTTGGGTAATGGCATCGATTTGAACAGAAACTTTGACTTTGTTTGGATGTGTAAGTATCAATATATCAACAAATAAAAGTAAATAGCTTTTAATAGTACTGTCAATACTAGCATAATGATGTACAATCTAAACTAAATGGTTTAGAAGAGAGATTTATTCACAGAAGTTCTTTATACAGTGAAAAATTTATTATTTACACATTGACAGTTTTCATGTAACTGAACAGTTTTTCGTTTTTTTTTTTATACAACTTAGAATGGCAAACAAGCTGACGTTCCACCTGATGAAAAATTGTAACCGTCGCCTATAGACATGAGCAGTACCACGGACATAACAGAGTGTACTGTCGCCCATGATACCCCCCATGCGTTGCCATTCCTGAGAACTCAGATGTTATTCCTCTGTACCCTGTAAATTCACGCCATATCCCACCCTTCAAACCGAAACACAGCCATGCAAACACAACTGCTTCACAGTTGAAACACGAATGGAAAGAACTGGAGTCAAATTTCAATAAATTTTTTGGAGTCAAACCCGTACAAGTTTGCCCCGCCCGCACTCCCATCGAGCGTCCTGACTAATATACTCGTATACGCGTCTGGCAGACACTTGCAACCATAGAATATTCTGGCTGTTTACATATATATTGTAAATAATTGAAATTGAATTCCTTTGATCTAACATAAACAATTTGTAAATGAAATAAATATTTTAATTGATTAAATTATACATTAATTAATTTAAAGATATTGTAACTTCAATGCACAATTATATAACATAAGTAAGCGTACATACGACGGACTTAACACCTAATGGCGTTCTCTATTAATTTGCAAATATATACATTCTGTTAAAACAAGTTATATTTGTTAACATAAGCTTTATTTTCGTATTTTAGCTGTCGGCGCATCGAATAATTCTTGCAGCGAGACCTACGCCGGACCCACAGCGTCATCGGAACTCGAAGCTCGTGCTTTATCAAACTATGTGCTTGGCATTAAAAATAATGGCCACGGAGAAGTGATCTACTACTTCGCCTTCCACTCCTTCTCGCAGATGATCCTGGTACCTTACAGTCATGTAACGGGTACAGGGGTTTTGGATGCTAAAAATTACGGTGATATGGTAAGTAAATTTTCAGAATTAGCTATCTGATCAGATATCGTACCATTTTTTTTTTTAATAAACTATACTTCATGTTGCTCACTGGTAATATTAGTATTCTATAAGTGTAATAGTTTTTAAAATCGGTTAAGTGTTTTAAAGTAATAATTAATTTCAACTGGTTTAATTTACGTGTAATTTGATTGGGAAAGTTTGACCAAATTACGATCGGCTGGGCTACGGAGCCTAGTTGTTCATGTCCAAAGATTTCCGAACGTCATATTTTTTATCTGTGACAGTGGGCCAAAGCGCGTAGTCATACTCGAGGTCGCCTCATGGTCGCTCAAAACTAAGAATCCCGGATAGTCCCGAAAATAGTCGAGCTTTCTCGACCAAATTACATACATGTATGTTTAACTCGTAGGCATTACATTAAAATATAATGTGTATTTACGAACCAGTTCAGTATTTTTTTTGTATTTTTAGTCACTTACCATCAGGTGAGCCGCATGCTCGTTTCCTCCTGTGTTGTAAAAAGGAAATCTATCATAATTAAAAATAGTCAAATTAGAAAGGTTATATCTTGAAATAAATTTCAATAAGATATTGGAATTGAGACATTGCGCCCTTTCGAAGTGAAATACTAGACATAATGTACAAATTGCGACATAATAGTTCCATATTGTTCTGATAGATGCATATTAGTGCAACTTAACATTACCAACTATTGCAACCTGATCCCAATACAAACCCAAGTCCTAATTGTCGTTTCACAAGTGCAGTTCAGAATTGTCATTGGCAATAAATAGGTTTGATATCTATGTTATTTGCAAGAGGAGACATCTTTTCAATTTTTTAATATTAGTTTAGATATCGCCGTGTTATTTTATAGTGGACACTGCTCTTATTTGTCTTGCTGTATACTCCCAGCATAAAATGGGCAACCCTTCTTTTCCCATGGAAGTCTTGAGAGACGACTAAGGGAACTTAACGGTCAAGGTATGGGACGTAGTACCAGAGGGAGACTTTGTACAAAAGTCGATTGCTTGAGAACCTCTGTCCCATTCGTGTTTCTATCGAGAAGCAGTTGTGTTTGCATGATTGTGTTTCGGTTTGAAGGGTGGGATATGGCGTGAATTTACAGGGTACAGAGGAATAACACCTGAGTCCTCAGGAATGGCAACGCATGGGGGGTATCATGGGCGAAACAGTATGTGTGTGTACTGTTATGTCCATGGTACTGCTCATGTCTATAGGCGACAGTTACCACTTAACATCAGGTGGGCCCTCAGCTTGTTTGCCATTCTAAGTCGTATAAAAAAAAAGTAGCGTCAATATATTGAGTTTATAGTATCATAATAGTCATGCACTGTTTATTATTGAATCTTCAGTAGAGGACATCCCCAACATCCCCCAATAAGTGAAAGGGAGGTCTGTGCCTCTACCTATTGAGGGTTTTTATCATTAGTTGCTATATTTGACAGGTAAATTGGCAATCACAGATGGGCTTTGATGTTTTAGGAGGAACTATGCGAGGAGAATGGGTCAAATCTTTTTTCGTGTCGTAAGAGGCTAATAAGGGATCTAAATGGTCAAGGGATGGGATCTTAATACATTGCCAAAACCTAACTGCGTTCGCCAATCTGCCTGCCAAGCGTGACAACTACTGGCAAACTCCCTCGAGCCCTATGTTCAGCAGTGGGCCGTTAACGGCTGATATAATAACTACATATTATTATATATTTTATATGTTTTTTCTATAGTATGAAATCGCAATACGTGGAGCTGACAAGCTGAAGGAGAGATACGGGACTCAATACACAGTGGGCGTATCTGCTGAGATCTTGTGTAAGTATTGAAAAGAAAGAATTCAGTTATTTAAAATATTATATTGTAATGACTACCTGATTAAATCAGGCAGTCAGGCTCGCTCGTGTTACAGCCGCTCATGACTAAGGGCCCCGGATGGTCCCGAAACTAGTCGAGCTTTTTCGACTGAAATACATGTAAGTTAATCCGGTTCTTATTACATTATAAAAAAGGTCGATTTTCACGCGGATTTCCCTGGGAACTTTCGTGGTTAATTCTTGATCAATTTGTTAGGATGGGCCTACTCTTCGGTTTTTATTTTCATCTATTGTCCTTCACTGGTTATCACAGGCAGAGTTACCATTTCATTAGAAAAAAAAAAGGAAAAAACATTCAATTATATTTATCATCTATTAAAAAAAAAAGATAGCTCTTTATGTGGGAGATGGAACTGTTAATAATTTTGTTTCAACAAATATCTTAAGCAATATAACTTATCTGGTCGATTTCCATGCGATTCCCTCCTAAACCATCATGGTTGATTCTTGACAAATACGTCAGGATGGGCAACAATTGACTGACAACTGACCTCCTTCATCCTCATTTATCATCATCATCTATCATCATTGGTGCTTTGCCAGTGGATACTGATAGACCAAGCGAAGATATAGTTCCATTTTCATCCATAACAAAAAAAAATACCTCACTTTTACACAAATTAATGAGAGACAAACAATAGCTGTGTGATCCCAGCACAGAACAGGCTATCCCTTTCTTTCCCGTAGGTGTCTTTAGAGGCAACCAAGGAAGGGCGAGTGATAGCCAGCAGCGTCCCTTTTAAAACATTTCTAAAGCCTAACTGCGGTTGCCAATCCGTCTGCCTAGCGTGGCAACTACTGGCAAAACTCCCAAGAAGAAGGCTGATGTTCAGCAATAAACAACAATTGTCACAAAATCACATATCTTTCATTACAGATGCAGTCAGCGGTTCCAGCTTTGATTTTATGAAGGGCGTTGTTGATATTCCAATAGTCTATCTATTCGAGCTTCGTGACGTTGGACAATATGGCTTCCTTCTGCCACCATCACAAATCATACCCAACGGTGAAGAGATTATGGACTGCTTAATCGAGATGGATAGGGTGACAAGATTGCTAGGGTATTACCATTACCCCTCATCTTCTATTACTGTCTATGGATCAGCCATATCAGTGTTTACCCTTCTAATAATTTTAATGATCTTTTAATTGATCGATGTATGTGATAAATCAGTTTCTGGTTACCATTGATTTTTATTGTGAATAATCTTTCATACCTTCATCGACATCTTGTATTAATGACTAACTGTGACCCGTGGTTTCACTCGTATGAGTCAGTATATAGATAAATAAATAAATAAAAATAATTTTTATTCAAGTAAACTTAATAATATATATATATATATATATATATATATATATATATATATATATATATATATATATATATATATATATATATATATATATATATATATATATATATATATATATATATATATATATATATATATATATATATATATTATACAACTTAGAATGGCAAACAAGCTGACGACTCACCTGATGAAAAGTAGTAACCGCCTATAGACATGAGCAGTACCATGCACATAACAGAGTGTACTGTTTCGCCTATGATACCCCCCATGCGTTGCCATTCCTGAGAACTCAGGTGTTATTCCTTTGTATCCTGTAAATTCACGCCATATCCCACCCTTCAAACCGAAACACAGCCATGCAAACACAACTGCTTCACGGTAGAAACACGAATGGGACAGAGGTACCCAAGCAATCGACTTTTGTACAAAGTCTCCCTCAAACATTTTTACTATCATGTTCATAAAATGAATGGGATTGTATCACCAGTTTTAGGGTTGGCAACGCGCACGTTACACCCCTAATGTTGCAGACCATAAGCTAGTGACTGCTTACCATCAGACGGACTGTATGGTTGTTTGCCACCTTTGTAGTATATAAAAAAAAAAAAGTTATTCAATTACATGTATGCAAATATGCATGACCTTTGAGTTATTATGCCCTTTCTGTTATAACCTTTTGCATGCTTTGTTGTATTAATTTAATCCATCAATTTGTAATTTATCTTGTTCTTGACATTATAAATACTCGTAATAATATAATTATCTTTAAAGATAATAAAATATCATATTTATCTTATCAATAATATAACAAACTATCATTATGCTGGCGGCTGACCTGCATTATTCATCAGAATCGTATTAAAAACGAGAGCAAAAAATCTTTTCGTTCATTGTTCTTCGTTCATTTTTTGTAAAAACCAGTAATAGATTGAAATTGTTTTAATTCAAACGTAATATTCGTAACTAGCATGTTATGGCATATTGTTGGTCATATTATTGGCCGTGTGGTCTCGGCATAGAATAGGCCACCACTTACCCCTGTAGGTGTCGTAAGAACCGACTAAGGGAGGACAAGGGATAGACAGTAGCGTCCCTCTTAAAATCCGCCTGCCCAGTATGGCAACTACTAGCAAACCCCCAAGGGAGAGGCTTATGTTTAACTGCGGTCAGTTAAAGGCTGAGATGTTGCTATGGCAACTTAGATCCGCTCAATTTAAATAATGTACAATCATGTTACACTTTTCATTGTCATCTGATACTTAATTTCTTTTGTAATTAAGATGCTAAGTGTTGATGAGTCGACTTGCGCATTGATTTACAATCGAATTGAAACTAAATTGTAATCACATCGAACAGACGTCAAATAAACGTTACCTTTTCAAGGTAATTCAAAGACAACATACTATAACAGTGATATTAAAAGAGTTTCGTTAAAAAACTGAAAAAGAAAGGAGCATATTATACTAACATTGTAACATATTGTTTACATCCAAATGATACAGGTCAATAACCGGCTTAAAGTAGTCGCCGTAACGAACGCTCGTTGCGAATGTTACACTATAATAAAATGTTAAGTCTGTCGTTAGCTTTATGCTTCACATGTCAGGTTTATTATTGACATTTTATATTCTAAGTTGGTAAGTATAACAAACTAAATTTGTTGTTGTATTTTTTTTAATTCTGTGTAATTACAGTGTAAAGAGTAGTTTTTTTTTTATGAGTCCACCTGCGCTATCGGTATACACTGGTGGGGCACCAGTGATAGATGACTGATGAGGATGAAAGCCATCAGTTAGTCCATCATGACGAATTCAACTAGAATTAACCACAATGGTTTCCAGGGGGCACCACGTGGAGGTCGACCTGAGAGGGTATATCGCTAGCAATGGAACTGTTAGATCCCATTACTAACAATCCCTTTCCCCCCTGATATATGAATGTTATTATATGTAGTGTGTAATGTACCCTATATTGCTAGTAATGGGGCTATTTGGCTCCATTACTAACAATCTCTTTCCCCCCTCTAAAGAGTAGTTACCTAGTAGTAGATTAAGTCAGTCTGACATATGGCCCCAGCAGAGAATAGTGGTCCCGATATAGAATAGGCCACCTCTTCATTTCCGAATCGTAAAAGGGGCTAAGAGAGACCGAGAGATGGGCAACAGCGTCCCTGTTAAAATCCGCTTTCCAATTTTGACAACTATTAGCAAAACCCCAAGGGGGATGCTTATATTCAACAGTGGACAGTTAAAGGCTGATTTTTTTTATACTACTGAGGTGGCAAACAAGCATACGATCCACCCGATGGCAAGCGGCTACCGTAGCCTATGAACGCCTGCAATACCAGAGGTATTACGCGCGCGTTGCCGACCCTGAAGAAACCTCTTTACCCCCCTTTTGAAAAACCCCATGCTGTAGTCTCTTGGGAAAATCTCGGAAGGAGGTAAGAGTAAGGAGTAAAGAGTAAGGTAGATGTATGAAGGTATATATTATTTTTAGTTTTGATTTAAAAAAAAAACAAAACTACTGAACTGATTTTGATAAAACTTGTATTTCTATTTCTGTAAATATATTCTTCCTTTTAGATAAAGAAAAATGGGATGTCTCTATAAGTATACAGTACACTCTGTTATGTTCATGGTACTGCTCATGTCTATAGGCGACGGTTACCACTTTCCATCAGGTGGGCCGTCAGCTTGTTTGCCATTCTAAGTTGTATAAAAAAAAACTTTTACTCGTAGATAAAATAAAAAATCCAAATCAGTTCACAACTGACGGAGTTATGAGGTAACAAACACACAAAAAAAAATAGAACCGAATTAAGAACTTCCTTCTTTTTTAAAGTCGGTTGAAAAATGCAGATTTATTCGTCGCTAATAATTGCTTTCACTAATATTGACATTGGATATGGCAATAAAATTACGGTGTACAGAAGCATAACAATTTAGACTTTAGGAATGGCAACGCTTGAGGGATATCATGGACGACACAGTATATACTGTCATATCCATGGTATTGCACATGTCTATAGGCGACGCTTACCACTTTCCATCAGGTGAGCCGTCAGCTTGTTTGCCATTCTAAGTTGCATAAAAAAATGTACACATAAATTTAAAAAAATTAAAAATTAAATTAGTATTTCATGGTAGACATAAAAAGTTATGGAGTAGATAATCAAATAAAACAGTTTAATAATTTAAAATCAAATATTTTAGGTAACCCCCGAGCCATCGGCATCGACCTTGAAACGTCTAAAATATGCATAAATTATAGCTAAGAACCATCTCGATCACATTAGCTTTCTAACAAAAAACCGCATTATAATCGGTTCAGTTGTTTAGCAGCTACGTTGCGACAGACAGACACATAGACACGTCAAACTTATAACGTACTTAAACGTATAACACCCCACTTTTTGCGTCGGAGGTTAAAAATAGTCGACCGTTTTGACGTGATTAGTGTGTAGCTGCTGTTTAAGTGTCCCCGTGGGAGTAAATTGGAATAGTTGCAATATATTTTTAAGCGACTTTAGGGAAAAAAGAGGGTAAAACCGTCGGATATAACTAGTGTACAATTACAACAAACAAGCGTTAATGATTACAAACAGATGAATTAAGAGTTCGAAATTCGAATAGTTTTAACTAGCTCTTACCCTCGACTTCAGCGGGGATATGTCGATGCAACGTTATTTAGCGCTATTTAGTCAATTTACATATTTTAAGTTGTAGTTTGATTTAAAAATTAAACTTCTGAACCGATTTTAAAAAATTTCTACAGTACTTCTTTCTTCGTCTTTGAGTATATCCTTTCAGAAAAAAAAATTCAAATCTAGTGTATAATATAAAATATATATATATATATATATATATATATATATATATATATATATATATATATATATATATATATATATATATATATATACAGTATATTTGGCAACATTTTTACTTAATATTACTCAAATGACATAAATAACAATAAATTACGGAACCCTTGACAATGTGACGCGTAAGTGAAATCAGATGTCAAAACGGTAGCCACAAATCATGACGCGTAGGTATACGGGACGATTCGAATAGAGACATCTGTGGCGTAGCGTTTTAATGACATGTTGTTTTATTTTTTGTTATAATTAAAAAAAAAAAACATGTAAATTCCTGAAAAATAATTAAGACTTCTGTCAAAAAAGTTGTTGTTGATTAAATTAATATACTTCTAATATTAAAATGAATCTTTTCGATTTATTAAATAGAGAATATTTATATATCATAATATATATGATATACGCATCATCTCGGCCATTATCTATCCACTGTTGTATATAGGTCTCCCCCATAGACTGCTCCACCTAGTCCTGAGCCATCTGCATTCACTAACTCTATAATGTATTTGAGGTCGTCACTCTATTTAGTGGAGAATCGTCCTATATTGCGTTTGCCCATACAGTGTCGTCACTCAAGAATCTTTCTTCAATATACCCATAAAGAACTTGAGAATCTTTCCTTTTTTTTTAAATTAAATGTAAATAATCTTGCGCAGCTGCTTAGTTGTGTAAGTACTAATGAGATCAAAAGAGCCCATGCTGATAATAAAGTCTCCACAATACAATTACTTGATTTTTATAAGCAACTTAGAATGGCAAATAAGCTAACGGCTCAGTTGATTGAAAGTGGTAACCGTCGCCTATAGACATGAGCAGTACAATGTACATAACAGAGTATATTGTTTCGCCCATGTGTTGTCATTCCTGAAATCTCAGGTGTTATTCCTTTGTACTCTGTAAATTCAATGCCATATCCTACCCTTTAAACAGAAACATAGCGTTGCAAACGTAACGTATCATAGTTATAAATAAACACAATCCT